CACCTTCCCTTCCCTTCCCGCACCTTCCCTTCCCTTCCCCCAGCCTGGCTTTGTCCCCTCTGCCCAAATTCCGATCCCTCGTGGTGATCCCATCCAGGAGCAGCTGGAGCAGTGCCCAGATGTGCTGGTCCTTCCAGCTGTGCTCCCCCAGGGATGTTCCACGGCTTTTCCGTTTCTTTTCCTCGCGTTCCTGCGTGTGCCACGCGCTGGAGCCGCAGGGAGACTCCCGGCTGTTCCAGCTGGGTAATTTGAGGAGTTTCTGGAGTTGTAGGGTGGTGTGGGCTGCTCTGCCAGCTGTGCCAGCCTTGGGGCTCTCCCTGCTGGAACTGCAGCTGGAGAATATCCAGGAACTTCTGGGCCACATCCAGCAGGAGAAGGCAGGAGGAGAGGATCAAAGGGAAGGGAAGAGCCGAGAGCCCCAGCCAGGGCTGGAATGGGGAATCTGGGAAGGGCAGGGGATGGATGGGGAGGGCAGGACCCAGCCCTGGGTGGCTTTTGCAGGGCCGGGAGTTGTCCTTTTGCTCCAAAAATCTCTCTGGTCTTGGATCTTTCCGTAAAAAGCACCAGGTCCCTGTGGAGGATGGAGCTGTCCCTTTGCTCCAAAGATGTCCCTGATTTTGGATCTTTGGATGAGCCGTGCTGGGGGGATCCAGCTGCAGGGAAGGGGATGGCTCGGGCTGGGTGAGCACCAGGATGGGCTGGTTTGCCTCCAACTCCCTCCCCCACTTCCCCAACAATCCCTGCCTGGGAATTCCTTTGCCCCAGCTCCAGAATTCCGAGCTCTCCCTGCCGTCAGTCACCGGCTCCGAGGCTTCCACGGGAACGAACCCATCAGCCGAGGACAGGAATGGAGTTTTTAATTCCCTTTTCCTCCCATCACCACCCTTGTCACGATTTTTCCCGGGCTCCGAGGTTTTCTGGCAGGCTCTGGGATTTCCATCCGGAAAGGTTTTGTGGGAAGGAGCTCCCCGGGAGCAGGGATGGGGCTGGGTGTCCGTGTGTGTATATAAGTGTATGTAATTAATGTAATTAATAGGTAGAGATGTACAGGTGGGCACGGGGCCGGGGGCTCTGCTCCTGAGGAGGGGAAAAGGAGGAGGAAAAAGAGGAAAAGGAGGAGGAAAAAGGAAAAGGAGGAGGAAAAAGAGGAAAGGGAGGAGGAAAAAGGAAAAGGAGGAGGAAAAAGAGGAAAGGGAGGAGGATTTGTCCTCCAGAACCACGCGCTGGGCTCTGCAGCCCTCAGCCCTGTCCCAAGGGATATGGGATTCCCTGTCCCAAGGGATGTGGGATTTCCTTTCCCAAGGAATGTGGGATCCCCTGTCCCAAGGAATGTGGGATTTCCTTTCCCAAGGAATGTGGGATTCAGCCTCAACCCCCACAAAGGATTCTGGATTCCCCCTTATTCCCTGTCCCGAGGGATGTGGGATCCAGCCTCAGCCCTTCTCCCTAGGGATGTGGGATCCCACCTCTCACATTCCTGCTGCTCCTCCCTATCCCGATCCCAATCCCGATCCCAATCCCGATCCCAATTCCAATCCCAATCCCGATCCCGATCCCA